ATTACAGCCAACTAAACTTGACCTGTTGAACCACAGGTGTTCCTTTTGTCACTCCCTGTACCTGGCCGATAAAGATGGATCCAGGTAAGTGCTGTGGCTGGGAGGCTGTGGGGTGAAGAAGGAAGGAGACAGGTAAGAGCAGAGGCCATCAGTCAGCCATATCTACAGCATGCCAAGAACATATGTGTGTGTGAAGGTGGTGGAGGGTTCTAAGAGGAAAACAATCTCTTATGTCTTGTAGAACCCTTCAGAGTTTAGGAGACATGCTCATACAGCCTTCATCTCACATCTCACATCTCACTTCATCTCAGGAGTAAAGCAGACAGGTGCTTCTCCCATCGTACACATGGGAAATTAGGGGCCATGCTCAGGATGAGATTGTGGGGATATGGAAGGTCTGGAGCCCAGAACTCAGCTCTTGGCAACTGTGCCCTTGGCTCCCCTCAAAAGGAACAAAGGACTATCCTGGTCCTCAAGAAATTGCAATCTCCCCGAGCAGATGATTCCCACCAATGGAGCACTTCAGAAGGCTCAGGACCACTCAGATTGGTTGTTGCCCCACCACACCCACCGTGGGCAAGCAGAGCAGCAGGATGGCCCAGTATAACCATACTTTCTGCAGGAAGGCACACAGAACAGAGCAAAAAAGCTATCCAAGGGGCAGGAGCCACAAGCAAAGGCTAAGAGCTGGGGCCAGAAGATCAGAAGCAGGAACACATGAACACCTGAGGGTCTGAGCAGAGACTGGATCAGAAAAAGTCAGATTTGGGGGAGGAGGTGGACTGGGGAGGCAGAGTGGGGACCGTCTGGAGGTGGAAGCAGAAGAGTCAGGATTTGCCACTGTGGAGTACCTCCCTTCGTGTCATGGAATTTGGCCAAGGTCGAGAGGGCAGACAGCCGGCAGGCTGGGGATGAGAACCCATGTCCCCTGACTTCACCCCACCCTGGAGGACTCTGTCAGCTCTCCAGCAAACAGGGATACACAACTGAGCTTTGTACTGACTTCCAATTATCTGTATCTGTTGTTGAGAGAAGGAATGATGGTCAGGCAAGTGACCAGTTCTGAGGAGCCTTTGCAGGGCTTGGCGATGAGGGTGGGGCAGAGTTTGGTGGCCACAAAATCTGGCCCCGGGGACAGCACAATATCTCACTGCAGAACCAAATGACCAAAGCTACTTCTTTTTCTCCTTTCCTCTCCCACAGGTCCAAAGGTAAGAAAGCTCTCCAGCCATCTCCCTTGCTCCTCCCCACTGCCATGTCCTCCAGACCTCCAGCCCCCTCGTTTGACCTTCAGGGAGTAGCCATGACCTTCCTGAAATGAAGAGTGGGGAGCAGGCTTGGCCATCAGCCCCATGGGCGGGCAGGCAGGGGCACCACAGTGCTCCTCCACCCCCGGCCTTCTCCTCAGCTCCTCTCCTGTTTTCCCATCTGTCTCTCCCGCTTCCTCACATCCCCTCCCTGTCTCAGCTTCTCTCCTGCTGCTTCTCCGCCTGTTTCATGCTTCTCTGCTTTCCTGGCTACCCTCACAGCCTCCCTGGATGGCTGGCTTGCTCCCAAACCCCAACCACACTGCAGGGCTCCAGTGACCTGCCTCTGCTGGAGAAAGGAGGCTGCCTACCCACCTCCCCGCATGGGTTCCCACCAGCAGATGGGGCTCCTAGGCCTGGAACTGGCCCCACCCCAAGGAGATTCATAGAAGGAAAGGCGGGCGGGGTGGGAAGTGGTTGTTTGCAGGCATCACTGAGGCTAGATGAGGAAGGGCTGCTCTGACATGGTCAAGGGAAGCACCCCCCCCCACCCCCACCCCCCCAGCCCTGGAGCCTACCTCTACTTTTCCCACGCCAAGCCCTCACTGGGGCTTAGGGGGCAGAAGCCAACAGGGCTAGGGCCATAGCCCCACCCCTCTTCCCTCAGGGCTCCAGGCTCCCAGTGCCCCAGCACCAGGAGCAAGGTACCTGGTGTCTCCGTTCTCTTCCCTGGGCCTGTGGCAAGAGGCAAAGAAACCTCTGGCGTTGGGGCCTCAGGAATTGTTCCAGCAAAGACAGAAGGTTAAGCCACACTCTTTCCGGCCTCTGCTGGCTGAGGCAATACAGCCTTGATTTTACTATTTTTATTCTTCCTGGTTTCTTGAGTCTAGCACCTGCTCAGGGACAGGCAGGGGCTCACGCACGCTCCCACTGTCACATATACACACGCACACACATGGCGCCTACATGCGTGTATCTGGGGGCACAGCAGGTATGTGTGCCTCTATCTATGTACCTGTGCATGGGGTGGGGCCCACCTGTGCACAGGTACACAGACATAACTCTTTGCATTTAAATAGAGCACACCCCCTTGCACCTACACACACACACACACACACAAAAACACTGTATAGAGAATGTGCATATCCTCACCTGCCACCTCCTGCTTTTGTTCTCTTCCCACCCTCCAGCTACCCTCCCCCTCACCACCCCCCAGGACTCCTGCATCACTGTTAACCCTGCCTCTTGTCTTCTCCTTGCTCCTGGCCCTCAGGGAGCTCCCTTAGAGCCACCCCCAGCCCACCCTCACTTGTGAGTAGTCAGCCTGCAGTTTCTAGCTGGGCAAAATCTCCAATGACTCTGTAAGGGTTCCTGGGTGAGAAAAGGGAGAAGATGAGATCATTCTGCTCCTTAGCTATAGAAATAAACGGAGGTCCAGGGAGTAGGAGTCATTTCTTGGCTCAAGGAATGGAAACCAATGAATCTAGGTTCTTCCCCTTTCTTTTGCTTAGTGCTCTGGCTTCATCACTTGCTGGCCCTCTCTCCCAGCCCTCCACCACCATCCCCTGCTAGTGTCCAGGAATCCAGAATCCTCCATGACAGAAGGTGGAGGGGTGGGGGAGGAAGAGGGAAGTTGATCTCAGGCAAGACTGGCACTGACCCCTGACTCTAACATTGTTCATTTGGCTTTCCACAGGGGCACTGCCATGGTGGTGGCAATGGCCCAGGGCACTGTCCTGGGGGAAAACACCCCCCAGGGCCCTGTGGGCACCCCCCTGGCCATGGCCCAGGACATAGTCCTGGGGGGAACCACCCCCCAGGGCCCTGTGGGCACCCCCCCTGGCCATGGCCCAGGACACCGGTCCTGGGGGGAACCACCCCCCAGGGCCCTGTGGACCCCCACCTGGTCCACCTCACTAAGGAAGCAGAAGAAAGAGGACACAATAATGGGGAGCCCGAGTTGGGTTGCCCTGCTGACCTGGTATGGAGACTGAAGCAGAATCTTCTCTTCCTAATAAACAGCCTCCCAGAGGCCATATTTTATTCTTAAAGAGCCTATCTTCCTTCTTATCCAACTGCGCACCCAGGGGCCCTGGTGGTCTCCAGGTTCCCTAATTATAAAAATGAGTACCCAGCCAGGCATTCTCAGAAGCTTGACTCAGTGGTACCCATGGCACATGGTTGTGTATGGTCACCACTCCTTTCCTTTTCACTTCTGCCCTCTCCCATCAAACAGCCTCACCACTTTGAGGTGTGTCCTCACCACTTTAACCCCATCATATACACCCAGACTTGGTGGGCCTCCTGAGGTTCCATCTAGATGCCTCGCTCTACAGATCAAAAGACTTCAGTGAATCCCGACTGTCCAGCTGTATTTCTCACCATTCCCTAAAAAGACACTGACCTTTCCAGCCTCCTTAGCTTTGCCTATTTCGCCCCCACTCCCGCCCCTTCCCCACCTCCAGGTCAAAAATACCTTCCCTCCCAGCCAGCTTCCTTCCCATCTTGAGGCTCCACCATCAATATGAAGCCTTCCTTAAAGCCCATGAGGAAGAGAGAGGTCCTATTTGTACGCTGCAGCCTTCTCTGTAGTTTATATCAACCATCACAGGGGCCTGACCACACCCTACCCAGTCGGCACTAGTTTATGGGCTAGCCTTTTATATCTCCAGCCAAACTGTAAGCTATTCAGGACAGGCCCACCACTCCTACACTTGCCTCTAGATTCTCCCACCTAGTGACCTATGCCTTGCATAGAGTGACACTTACGCACAGTTTAGGGATACCTATATTCTAAATGCTTGTAGGTTCTGACTCCTTCCCCAGCCCCACTCCTCAGCCATGGCACCTCCCTGCACATTCAGCCAGTGTGCTTGCTGTGAAACCCTTTCCATCCAAATCCCACATCTGGAACCCTCTCCGCCCTCCAACTCCCAGGCCTCTCACATCACCCATATCTATTCTAGAACTCTACCCAGGCCTGTCCCAGGCCCATTACTCCCTCCCCTCCCTCATAGCTGTTCCCTGATGGTGGAGCAGCAAGTGTCTTAAAGTGAGTGGCTGTTGGGTACCTCCTAGGCTGAAGTGGGTTGATTATAAGAAAAAGAGCTGTGAATTCTCTTTTCTCCCTCTTCCCACACCCCATACTCCGCACTTGAATAACAGAAGCCAGGCTCCAGGTCCGAGGGTTGCAAACCCAAGTCCAGGTCCAGACAAACGTGAAGAAAAACCCAACCTGAATAGTGCCATAGTCCCACTGGGGAGGAGGGTGTTGCTAGGCAAAGCCAAGAGAAATGTGGGACTTAAGTCGCCCAACCTCTCAACCTTTCAGTTTCCTGCACTGTGAAGTGCGGGTGTGGAAGTTTCTTCCTCTTTCTGGCTGGAAGAGTGCGTTTCAAATAGGCTCTCCGCACGGTGCCTGGAGTCGTGCTTCCTGGTCCCTTAGGGGAGAATCGATGTCCCCCTGGGAAAGGCCAATTTGCGGACTACAGCCAGCCGGCCGGACTCCTAAAAGCTCTCAGACCTGGCCTGGGTAGGTCCCGGGGTCTTGAAGACAGCAAGCCTCCAGCGCTGGGCAGCCGGGCCGCCACAAGCCTCAGTCCCCGCCCCTCCGGTGCCGCGCCCATTGGCTGGGCTCCTTGTCGGCCCCGCCCAGCGATTTGTCCGACAGGCGCAGACGCATGCGCGGGAGCCAGCCGCCGCCGCCACCACCGCTTCAGCACCAGCGCCCGGACAGCGGTGCCGCCCACGGGCATGGATGCTGGTAGCGGCGGCAGCAGCCGCGGTCCGGCTCCCGGCCCGGGTCCGGAAGGGGATCATCGGCCCAAGGGGGAGCCCTTGGCCCCAGACGGCAGCTTCCCGGACAGGTAGGGCGGACCGCTCCGCAAACCCAGCTCGCAGACCTTCCCAACACCCCCGCCCCAGGTATCCCCGTAGCCGCCATATGTCTCCCTCATTCATTCCCCAGCCCCTCCCAGAGCCCCTTCCAGCGCCTCAGAGCAGCAGGCCCCCTGGCCACGCCCTCATTCAGCCGGGTCAATTTTCTCTCTCCCAGATACCCCCTACTGTAAGTTCCCATCGCTCTCACAGTCCCAATACCTGCCCCACCCACTGTTCCTACCTTACCTCTAGTGCCGGGGTCTCCTCCGACCCTCCAGCCTCATGAACCCCTCCCTCTAGGCCCTGCCCCCGCATCTTCTCAGTAAGCCCCAAGCCCGGGAAACCTTAGTCTGGGTTCCAGCATGGCAGTGTGCTCGAAGGTGCGTGTGTGGCATAGACGGGAGGATCCCCCAGGTGTGTGTCCTGGGGAGAGCAGACCCTCGCCGCCACGCCAGGAACTGTCTTTGTCCATCACCGTCAGTCTCCAGTCTGCCTCCATGGCCGGCTGCACACGTGTGGGCTTGAGTCCCCGCGTGTGGCGGCTACCAGCACTCACTCGCTGGAGGCGCAAGGGTGGGCAGGCTCTGAGGCTCAGGCTGCGGTTAGTACCATCCCTGAGGGAGTCCCAGGCTGGCAGGACAGGAGGAGCATCTTCTCACTGAGGGCCCAGATATCAGTGCCTCTCCTCCACCTTCCCCCACCATATGTGTGAGGGAACAGCCCATCCAGGTAACAATATGGCGCAATTTCTGTGCCCTGCCCGGTCTGCCACCCTCAGAATCCCTCCCCTGACATGACACTGCCTCCCTCCCTCTCTCTCTCTCTCCTGCCTGGACTGAAATAAGAGGCATTCTTTGGGGCCAAAAAGCAGAGATGGACGTATACTGCCCTAGTTAAAATGTATGTTCTGGACCTCAGAGCAAAGAGGAGGCCCCACAAGTAGAAAAAAATGTTTTCTTCCCTTTATTGTCAACACTCAGCCTGGATAGATTTAACCACCTGTCACTCTGAAAGGCACAGAGCTTTCTTCAAGGGAGTGAGACACAGGATGGATGTGTTCCCTGGACCAGGGGGCTGCCTGGGACTATTGCCTGACCAAAAAGCCAAGGATGGACAGGGCAGGGACACGACAGGGCAGGACGGGGGCCCGGGGCCAGAAGTCTCCCTAGAAGGGGCCAGAGAGTCATTTGCTGCCTTGGATATTTCATTAAGGATAAGCCTTGTCTGGTCTGATAACTTCCTCTGCATGTGAGGGTCATTCCTGGGCACAAGAACCACTGGCTCTTCTTCAGCAACTCCTTGGGACCTCTGGCCTCTCTCTGAATTTCCCCAGAGACCCTGGACACTAATCAGGCAGAGGGACACAGTTCAATTCAAGAAACAAAAATATATTCATTGCGAGCTAAGAAGTACTCTGGAGTTAGATACAGAGTGAATAAAACAGTGTGTGTGTTTAAGCACATCTATGGTCCTTTACTAATTCATTGACTACAGAGCAATTTGAAATAGTTCATTCTCTGTTTTTGAAATTACCTTTTTATTTTCCCAGTGGCATGACTGCTCCCTTATCCATCTTGGCCACTCTGCGGGATCACATGGAAGTCCATATGGCTCTGTGTCTGTGGGCCTGGGGGTGTCCTTAATGTGCATGTATTTACCTCTTATGAGTCTCCCAAGTGGGTGGCTCTGTGTGGGGGGCAGCCCTATCAGCCAGGCACTGCCTGCTTTCGCTTTGGCCTCTTGAGGAAGCCTGCGTCAACACTTTCCATCCCCCTGCCTGCCTGCCCCAGTCACTCGGGATACAAGCCTGCCTAGGAGGTGGCTCACTCTTGTCAGAGCCATGGAACTGAGGGGGTAATAATGAAAGCCACCTGGGGTGTTTAACTTGTGTTATTACTAGATCTCCTGAAAACTGAGGGCAGCAGAAGCTGGCAGAAGAAAGCTTTTATTCTCAGAAGAGTTTGGCTCTTCTCCTTGGGAGGGTTGAGACAAAGGCCCAGTTCATACAGGAATGTGAAGGGTTTTAAATTCTGCCACATTGACAATGATAAGCACTGTCAGGAAGGATGGGATTTGGGAGAAGCTGACTTTAGGTCCCTGGAGAGGGGTGAGAGGGGTTGAGAAGAAGGGGCTGGGGTCAGGGAGACCCCAGTAGAAGCAAACCAATGGTAGAGGCTGGAATCCCCCTTGAACAGAAGGCAGCTAAAGAAGGGTGCAGGCTTATGAACTTTGGTAGACTGGCTAGGAGGGAGTGCTCCCTCTCTCCTCCAACACCCCCATAGTGCTAGCTAACCTTAATAAAAAAAAAAATCCCCACACTCCAACTGGGGCAGGGGAAGCCTGGCTCTATGTACTCAGTGAGCACTCTAAGACCATGGGCAGCTCAAATAGACACCCTGGTTGCCCCACCCTCCTGACTCTTGGAATGCAGGTTTGCTCTAAGGAGGGAGACCAAGGGGGGCCTGGGTGGCTCATTCAGTGGAGCATGTGACTCTTGATCTCAGGGTTTTGAGTTTGAGCCCCACATTGGGTGTAAAGATTACTTTTTTTTTTAAAGATTTTATTTATTTGTTTGACAGAGAGATAGAGAGCACCAGTAGGCAGAAGGGCAGGCAGAGGGAGAGGGAGAAGCAGGCTCTCCATTGAGCAGGGAGCCCGATGTGGGGCTCGATCCTAGGACCCTGGGATCATAACCCGAGCTGAAGGCAGTCACTTAACCAACTGAGCCACCCAGGTGCCCCAGTAAAGATTACTTTAAAAAAATAAAACCTTGCGGTGCTTGGGTGCCTCAGTTAGTTAAGAGTGTGACTCTTGATCTCAGCCCAAGTCTTTTTTTTTTTTTTTTAAGATTTTATTTATTTCACAGAGAGACACCCAGTGAGAGAGGGAACACAAGCAGGAGAGGGAGAAGCAGGCTTTCAGCCACGCAGGGAGCCCATGTGAGGCTCGATCCCAGGACCCTGGGATCATGACCTGAGCAGAAGGCAGACACTTAACAACTGAGCCACCCAGGTGCCTCTCAGCTCAGGTCTTGATCTTAGGGTTGAGTTCAAGGCCCATGTTGGACTCCACAGTGGGCATGGAGCCTACTTTAAAAAAAAAAGAAAAAGAAAAGATAAAAAAATTAAATCTTGGAGCACCTGTGTGACTCGGTTAAGCATCCAACTCTTGATTTTGGATCAGGTCATGATCTCAGGGTTATGAGATCAAGCCCTGCATGGGGCTCAGCCCTGGGTGTGGAGCCTGCTTAAGATTCCCTCTCTCCCTCTTTCTCTGCCCTTCTCTCCGCACCCATGTGCTCTTTCTCTCTCTCTCAAAAAAATAATAAATAAAGGGGAGACCATGATTAATGGGTCATTTTCATGCCTTCAGGATAACCCAGACCAAGAGCGGTGCCCAGCATGTGATAGGTGCTCAAAAGAAACCTGCAGGGGGCATCTAGGTGGCTCAGTTGGTTAGGCATCTACCTTTGGCTCAGGTCATGATCCCAGGGTCCTGGGATCGAGTCCTGCATCAGGCTCCCTGCTCGAGGGGAGTCTGCTTCTCCCTCTGCCTGCCTCTCTCTCTCTCTCACTGTGTCAAATAAATAAATTAAATATATATATTTTTAAAAAGACCTGCAGGGGCGCCTGGGTGGCTAAGTGGGTTAAGCCTCTGCCTTTGGCTTGGGTCATGATCCCAGGGTCCTGGGATCAAGCCCCATATCAGGCTCTCTGCTCAGCAGGGAGACTGCTTCCTCCTCTCTCTCTGCCTGCCTCTCTGCCCACTTGTGATCTCTGTCAAATTAAAAAAAAAAAAAAAAACTTAAAAAAAAAAAAAGCCTGCAGAATAAAAACCTTAAAGAAGAAAATGTCCACACTTATGTACCTTCCCTTTGGCCCACAGAGATGGGCCAATAAGGTCTTTTATCTGCCAGGACCTTGGTTGCTATATCTACTTTATGGGTCATCTGAGGGCTTGCTTTAGAACAACTTTGTCAAACTCCTCTTTTTCTAAACAATGAGTTAGTTAAAAAAAAAAAAAAGTATCAGTGATTTAAACCATGAGATTAAATGCTGATGCAGCTTTTAAGTAACAAAAAGGCAAGTATGTGTAATTATATATGTAGTGAGAGTCTCAAGGTGTGAGGAGTTCTAAAATGGAGCTATATTATCTGAGGTGCCTATACTTCTTAAGCTGCATGTTCCCCACAGCCCTGGTGCAAATGAGGGCGGGGGGACAAATGTGTCTTCCCTATGCCAGGCTCCGACAGGGAGCTCATGTATGTTACACCTTAATTCCTATACCAACCCCGAGAGGGGGTGTTACCATCATACTCTCGCTCAAGACAAGGATGCCAGCACCCCAAGAATTGTGTGTCTTTCCCAAGGCCTCAGAGCTAAAGGATGGTAGAGCCAGCAGCCCACCTCCAGTGCTCCCGCATTTTCCCTTGGCATGAAGGTTGTGCTTTCCCAGACCGCTATGCCAGCCAGCCATGCTTCCAGGAGGAGCAGGAAGAGCTTGCCTCTTCTTCCCAGTTCCTCTACTTAGTTTCCAGGCAGAACCCGGCCTCCCTGGGCAATGTCTGCTCGCCGCCAGGACAGGGACTCTGGCCTCCAGCCCCTTTGGGAGTGCAGCAGGCAGGTCTGAAAGCCACAGGTGGGTCAGCGTAAACCACACAGCTACACAATTTCTGGCAGGCCAGGTGGGTCCGGTGAATGTGGGGAGGAGACAGGGCTCTGCCAGGGTTTCCTAGTCCAGAACCTCTCTGGGAGCACCCCATAGCCCTCAGGGACTCTGTTCTGCAGCCATCTACTCCTGTCCCAGGTCTGGCAGTCCTGCCGCTGGGGGGGACTCCGCCTCCCCGTGCACCCAGGGAGTGGGGCTGGGTCCATGCCCTGAATACTGTCCTTGTGAGTAATTCTGAAAGAAGAATCTATTGCTGACTCCTCCTTGGCAAGTTCTTTGGGGGTCCCAACTCCCTCTCCCAGCTGTACACACTCTTGCAAAGCAAACCTCTTTCCTGTGGCCCAAGGGTGGAGGAAGGGCAGCACTCACAGCTGGCATACCTTCTGCGACTACCCCCACCCCCCCACCCCCGTCAAAGTTGGGCCTTCCTTTTCAGTGCTCTGTGACTTGGACTCTGGTCAACATCTCCCACCCACTATGAGTGCCTGGAAGACAAGGATGGACCTTATTCATCCCAGCATCACCATTAGCAGCCCGTCTAGGGCTCAGTATTCACTCAACAAACATTCCCCGGGCCCCTTCCGAGTGCAAGAGATGAACAAAGGTATGAGACCCTGCTCTCCCAGAGCTCACATTCCATCGGAGAGGCAGGCTCGAAACAGGACACTGGATAATGTCTGGTTGTGGCAAATGCTGCAAAGAAATATAAAGCAGGTGGGGGGATTGAGAGCTGGCAGGTGGTTAGTTGGTCGGGGAAGGCTTCTCTAAGAAGGTGATAGTTGTACTGAGACTAAAGGGAGGCTCTGAGCCATCCAGTTATCTTGTGGAGGAGACCCCAAGCTGAGGGAGGAGGAAGTTCAAAGGCTCTAAGGTGAGAACAAGATTGCAGTAGGTGCTCAATAAATGCCTGCCAAGAGAATGAACAGGTGGCTGCAGCAGAAAGAGTGCAGAACTGGGGCGCCTGGGTGACTCGGTCATTTAAGCACCTGTCTTGGGCTCAGGTCATGATCCTGAGGTCCTGGGATCAAGCCCCACATCGAGCTCTCTGCTCAGCAGGGATCCTGCTTCCCCTGCTCTCTCTGCCTGCCTTTCTGCCTGCTTGTGATCTGTCTGTCAAATAAAGTCTTAAAAAAGAAAAAAAAAAGGAAGGGAGGGAGGAAAGGAAGGAAGGTAGGAAGGAAGGACTGGTGCAGGACAGCAAGTCAGAATGGGTTTAAGGCCCAGCTCTTGTCTCACTGAACCTATTTTCAAATATAGAACAAGGAAAGTATCTCCCCTGTAGGATTTTGTGAGTACACAAGATCATACATGTAAAAGCACAGTGTCTGGCATGTAGCAGGCTGCCAATAATGTTTTTTTTTTTAAGATTTTATTTATTTATTTGACAGAGAGAGAGAGGTCACAAGCAGGCAGAGAGGCAGGCAGAGAGAGGGGGGAAAGCAGGTTCCCCACTGAGCAGAGAGCCCGATGCAGGGCTTGATCCCAGGACCCTGGGACCATGATCCGAGCCAAAGGCAGAGGCTTTAACCCACTGAGCCACCAAGACGCCCTGCCAATAATGTTTTTTGAGTGCATGGACAGGTGAGTGACTGAGACAACAGACTCAAGAGATAGGTTAGGGGTGTATGGATGGAGGCTGTGCCCCCCTCCCCTCTCCCCCAGGACTAATAAGAACAACCCCAAGCCCTGTCTCCTTGTCTCAGGGCATGGGGTGGCCCAACAGCACCCCCCACCCTCATCACCCTTGTCTCTTCTCTCCCCAGGTCCCAGAGCAAGGCTGTGGCCCCTGAGGCAAGCCCAGAGAAGAGCTGCTCCCTCCACAGTGGCCCCCTGGAGGATCCTTCCAGTTCTTCAGGACCCCCACCAACAACTTCCACCCTCCAGCCTGTGGGCCCGTCCAGCCCCTTGGCCCCTGAACACTTCACCTACACCCGGGCACCGCAGGAATACCGGGGAGACAATTCCCTGCCAGGGCTTGGGGACCGAGCAGCTCTATGCTCCCATGGCTCTAGCCTCAGCCCTTCACCAGCCCCCTCACAGCGAGATGGGGCCTGGAAGCCGCCATCTGTGCAACACCATGTGGTCAGTGTCAGGTAAGGAGGGATCCAGCAGCCTGCAAGCTTCCACTGGAAGATGGGGCAGGGCTTAAAAGTGGGGTGAGCCCCCCGGGCTCTGGACTCCTTTATTAAGAGGCAGCCCAGGATATCCCTTGCCTCTGAGGGAGGAGGCAGCCTGGATGGAGGAGGAAGGAAGGGTTGGAGCTTGAGAGTAGAACAGCCTAAAAGGATTAATACCATCTTGCTCTGTCCCCACACCCTACCTCCCACCCTGCAGGGGGGCTCTGACAAGCAAGTGTCTTTTCTTCTCTTCCACAGGCAGGAACGGACCTTCCGGATGCCAAAGAGGTAGGCCCCTGGGCCTCTGGCCCCCTAGGGGTGACTAGGTGGGCACCGAGTCTGGCCCTGCCACCCCTTCCTGGTGACTCCTAAGCTCACCACACCCAACACCAGTTCCAGTGGCTTCTCTTCCTCTTTCCCAGCTATTCCCAGCTGATTGCTGAGTGGCCAGTGGCTGTGCTGCTGCTGTGTCTGGCTGTCATCCTTGTCTGCACCCTGGCTGGACTGCTGGGGGACCAGCTGCCCGACTTCTCCAAGCCCTTGCTGGTAAGAGGCTAAAGGGAGGGACAGGGACTCCCAGGCCTAGCCACCTCAGCTCAGTCTGGGGCAGAAAGTTGGAGCGACCCAGCTGGGGGGTGGGATGGCAGTGGACTCGACCCCCAGAGTGAGTTGGGGAGATGGTAAAGAGGGGATACTCTCATCCAATAATCCAGAAAGCCAGGCTGGCCTTCCCTGCTCCAGGGACCCAAAGGGGCAGAGCCAAAAAGGGCCAGATGGGGCACTGCTCCTTTTGCCCACCTAATCTTCTCTGTCCCTCCCCGTGCAGGGCTTTGAGCCTCGAGACACAGACATCGGCCGCAAGCTGGTAGTGTGGAGAGCACTGCAAACCCTCACGGGCCCCAGGAAGCTGCTTTCTCTTTCCCCAGACCATGAGCAGAACAGGTACTGGGTTTCCATCTTTCCACTGTTAAAGGGAAAGGGGGAATGAGAGAGGACCTCCCAAAATCCAGGTCAGAGGGACTTGCTGGGGTCCACTGGGAAGGGGTGTCTGGCCTCCTCTGAGTCCCTACCCCTTGATGGTGCCTGGCATAGGTTTTTCTCTCTACCTTAGTTCCAACGCCCATACCACTCTGAGCCCCACACCCTGGAGCAGTACCCAGGAGGGCTTAGTCCGGCCTCGAAGGATGGTGGAGCCCCTAGAGGACAGAGGACAGAACTTCTTCTGTGGCCCGCCTGGTAAGCAGCAACCTGGCCAGTTCCTGCCTTTAATGGTGGCCCCCATTGTACCGACTAGAACTAGAGGGCCCAGGAGAACAAATTTGGGCAGTCAGAAAAGGAAGGAGGCCAGCTGGCCACGTTCAAGTCATGGAAGTTGGGTTACAGTCGGGAGGCTGAGCTAGGCCTCAGCTGCTCCAGCCACACGAAGTCAGGCTGGGCAGGGCTGGCGGGGCACAGGATGGGGCAGCCAGGCACAGGTTTCAGACTCCTGAGAATCTGAGCCTCATCTGGCCCTGGGTAAGTGTCTTCCCTCCAGCAGGCCCAGGACCTGATGCCAAAGAGCTGAATTCTGGGGTGTGTTGGGGGGTGTGTTGCAGAGAAGAGCTATGCACAGCTGGTGTTCATGTCCACCTCAGCAGGCAGCCTGTGGAACCTGCATGCCATCCATTCCATGTGCCGCATGGAACAGGACCAGGTGAGCTCGCTGGGGAGGTGCTGTGGGTGGGAGGTGAGGCAGGGGGAGAGAAGGGACTCTTCTTGGCCTAATCCCAAGGAAATACAGCTGAGTCAGAACTGCTAGGGTGGACTGGGGAAGAGTATTCCCTGCTCAGAAAAGTCTTCCAGTCCCTGTTGAAAGGCTCCAGGTTCAGGTGGGGAAAGAAGAGTCAGCTGTTCTTAGAGAAGCCAAGACACAGAGACTGGCAGAGCCTGGGGATTTTCAAAAGGTCCTGAAAAGGGGCGCCTGGGTGGCTCAGTGGGTTAAAGCCTCTGCCTTCAGCTCAGGATCGAGCCCCACATGGGGCTCTCTGCTCAGCGGGGAGCCTGCTTCCTCCTCTCTCTATGCCTGCCTCTTTGCCTACTTGTGATCTCTCTCTGTCCAATAAATAAATAAAATCTTAAAAAAAAAAAAAAAAAAAAAAAGGTCCTGAAAAGGAGCCTCAGGGGCTGTTGAGGAGGCCCCAGCCCAAGGCCTCCTCCTGATCAATCCAAGCAGTGCCAATCCGGTTCCCCTAATCCGAGAGCCAGATACCACCATAACATCTGAAGAAAGGTTTGTTGCCAAATAGTGTAAACACCATTGAGTAGCCCAGGGCATCCACACAAGTGCATCTGACATACCAAAAGACACTGGTTAGGAACACGTGCCCTGGAGTCAGATTCCTGAATTCAAATCCAGTTCTCTCTCTCTCTCTCTCTCTTTTTTTTTAAATAAGAATTTATTTATTTTTTATCTGAGAGAGAGAGCTGGGGGAGGAGCAGATGGAGAGGGACAAGCAAGCTCCACCCTGAGCGTAAAGCCCCACATGGAACTGCATCCCAGGACCCCGAGATCACAACCTGAGGTGAAATCAAGAGTTGGACACTCAGCCAAATGAGCCACCCAGGTGCCCCAAGGCCAGTTCTAATACCCCCCTAGCTGTGTGATTGCAGGCACATTTCTAAACCTCTCAGTGCCTCGGGCTTTGGATGTAGAAAATGGGGCAAATAATGTTACTTTTCTCATAAGGATGTTGTGACAACTGAACAAGACAGATTTGCCTGGCAAGTTGTAGAATAATGACTGGGAATAGAAATCTCTCAGTAAATGTTGCTGTTGTCACCATGATCTCAGGCCCAAGGCCATATAGCCAGTCGGTAGCAAAACAGGGCCTCTGATCCCCAGGCCAGTGCCCTCCAGAGCTACACCAGCTGTCATGATGTGTTGTGTTAATAGCAGGTGGGAGACAAAAGGAGGCATGAGGTCTGAAAAAGAAATAGCTCTGTCACTAAGACGGTTTAAGCAGCCCAATGGACAGAGGTAGGAGGCTACGTTTGGCACTGACCCTGACCCTAGAATGTTCTGGTCCCTACTTTTCCCACTGTTTGCTTCCAATTCCCTGGACCCTTAACCCATCTGTGGCTGACATTGTCACTTCCACTCCTGGTTTAGGCAGGGCAGAATTGGGGTGTGTGACCTGCAGGGGCCCTTAGGGCAGGACCTCTCGGAAGGAGGCCTTGGACAGCATTCCTGAGGCTCCCCTTTGGTGGGTAGTCAAGATGTAGCCAGGAACTGAACACAGCTCTGAGATGAGCCTTGTCTGCTGGGCTGTCAGGATACCTCTCTGCCTCGGCCCTCTAGCCTGGTAGGAAGTGAGGTGTCCCTGGACAGGGGCCGGGGAACCTGGGCCCCTGGCTTGACCCTGAGCTCTCTCCTGCCCTGTGTGCTGTACAGATCCGCTCCCATAGCCACTTTGGGGCTCTGTGCCAGCGTACGGAAGCCAACAAGTGCTGCCCCAGCTGGTCCCTGGGCAACTATGTGGCTCTGCTCTCCAACCGCTCCTCCTGCCTGGACACTACTCAAGCCGATGCGGCCCGAACACTGGCCCTTCTGCGGGCCTGTGCCATCTACTACCACCGCGGCGCCCTGGTGCCCTCTTGTTTGGGCCCTGGACAGGACAAGCCAGCACACTGCACCCAGGTGCCCACCAAGTGCTCCCGGAGCAGCGCTGTCTACCAACTCCTCCATTTCCTACTGGACAGGGACTTTCTGAGTCCCCAGACTGCCGACTACCAGGTGCCCTCCCTCAAGTACAGCCTGCTCTTCCTGCCCACTCCCAAGGGGGCCTCCATGATGGGCATCTACCTGGACCGCCTGGCAGTGCCCTGGGGGCTCTCTGACAACTACACGTCCATCACCGGCATGGACCTGGGCCTCAAGCAGGAGCTGCTGAGACACTATCTGGCCCAGGACACGGTGTACCCCTTGCTGGCCCTGGTTGCCATCTTCCTCAGCATCGCCCTCTACCTGCGTTCCCTCTTCCTCACGCTCCTGGTACTGCTGGGGGTGCTGGGCTCCCTGCTGGTCGCCTTCTTTCTCTACCGGGTGGCATTCCGCATGGCCTACTTCCCCTTCGTCAATCTGGCTGCCTTCGTCCTTCTCAGCAGCGTCTGCGCCAACCACACACTCATATTCTTCGACCTGTGGCGCCTCAGCAAGAGCCAGCTGCCCTCGGGGGGGCTGGCGCAGCGCGTGGGCCGCACCATGCACCACTTCGGCTACCTGCTGCTGGTCTCGGGCCTGACCACAGCCGCGGCCTTCTACGCCAGCTACCTGAGCCGCCTGCCGGCCGTGCGCTGCTTCGCCCTCTACCTGGGCACGGCCGTGCTGGCCCACCTGGCCCTCACGCTGGCCTGGCTGCCCGCCTCCGCCGTGCTCCATGAGCGCTACCTGGCGCGCGCCTGTGCGTCCCGGGTGCAGGGCCCGAGGGCCGGCAGCGCGCCCCGGCGACTGGCCCTGGCGCTGCACAGAAGGCTCCGCGGTCTCCGGAGGGCGGCGGCCGGCACCTCGCGCCTGCTCTTCCAGCGCCTCCTGCCCTGTGGGGTCATCAAGTTCCGCTACATCTGGATCTGCTGGTTCGCTGCGCTGGCGGCAGGGGGCGCCTACATCGCCGGCGTCAGCCCCCGCCTGCGGCTGCCCACGCTGCCGCCGCCCCGCGGCCAGGTCTTCCGGCCCAGCCACCCCTTTGAGCGCTTCGACGCCGAGTACCGCCAGCAGTTCCTGTTTGAGCGGCTTCCTCAGAGCGAGGGCGGCCATTTGCCCGTGGTGCTGGTGTGGGGCGTCCTGCCCGTGGACACTGGCGACCCGCTTGACCCTCGCAGCAACAGCTCACTGGTGAGTGACCCCGCCTTCTCGGCCAGCGGCCCGGAAGCCCAGCGCTGGCTGCTGGACCTCTGCCACGGAGCTCGGAATCAGAGCTTCTTTGGAGCCCAGCCCGAGGGCTGGCCCACGCTCTGCTTCGTGGAAGCCCTCCAGCGCTGGGTGGAGAGCCCCGCTTGTGCCCGCCTGGGGCCGGGCCTCTGCTGTGGCCACTCTGCCTTCCCTTGGGCACCCCAGCTTTTCCTTCACTGCCTCAAGATGATGGCTCTGGAGCAAGGCCCCAACGGCACCCGGGACCTGGGGCCACGCTTCAATGCCCATGGCAGCCTGGCTGCCCTGGTCCTGCAGTTCCAGACTAACGTCCAGTATAGTCCGGACTACGGCCAGGCCCACCGCTTCTACACTGAGGTTAGCCACTGGCTGGCGGCCGAGCTGGGCCGCGCACCCCCCGGCCTCCACCGGGGCTGGTTTACCAGCCATCTGGAGCTCTACAGCCTGCAGCACAGCCTGAACACAGAACCAGCTGTGGTGCTGGGCCTCGCGCTGGCACTGGCCTTTGCCACACTGCTGCTGGGCACCTGGAACGTTCCACTGAGCCTGTTCTCCGTGGCAGCCGTGGCGGGCACCGTGCTGCTGACTGTGGGGCTACTGGTTCTGCTCGAATGGCAGCTCAACACTGCCGAAGCTCTCTTTCTCTCCGCCTCTGTGGGCCTCTCGGTGGACTTCACAGTCAACTACTGTATCTCCTATCACCTGTGCCCGCACCCTGACCGCCTGAGCCGAGTGGCCTTCTCCCTGCGTCAGACCAGCTGTGCCACGGCAGTGGGGGCCGCGGCCCTGTTTGCGGCCGGGGTGCTCATGCTACCCGCAACCGTGCTGCTCTATCGCAAGCTGGGCATTGTCCTGATGATGGTCAAGTGTGTCAGCTGTGGCTTCGCCAGCTTCTTCTTCCAATCTCTGTGCTGCTTCTTTGGGCCAGAGAAGAACTGTGGGCAGATCCTCTGGCCTTGTGCCCACCTGCCTTGGGACACTGGAACCGGAGAGCCAAGTGGGGATAAGGCAGGCCGCCCACGGGCAGGGCCAGCAGGAGGGGCGCCCGGATCATGCTCGGAACAGTACGAGCTCCAGCCCCTGGCACGGCGCCGGAGCCCCAGCTTTGACACAAGCACAGCCACGAGCAAACTGTCCCACCGGCCCTCTGTGCTCTCAGAGGATCTCCAGCTGCATGATGGCCCCTGCTGCTCCCGTCCCCCACCGGCCCCTGCCTCCCCGAGGGAGCTGTTCCTGGACCACCAGTCCGTCTTCAGCCAGTGCCCAGCCCTGCAAACATCCTCCCCTTATAAGCAGGCGGGCGCCAGCCCCAAGACCCAAGGCAGGCGGGACTCCCCAGGCCAGAAGGCTGAGCCTGCGAGGGCCTCACCAAAAGTCCCTGCCCACTCTCCCAAGGCCAAGTCTGTGGAACCTCCTGATTGCCTCTGCTCTTCAGCCAGCACCCTAGAGGGCCTCAGCGTCTCTGATGAGACCTGTCTGAGCACCTCGGAGCCCAGTGCCCGAGTTCCAGATTCTGTTGGTGCCTCCCCAGACGACCTGGATGAAACAGAGCCAACTGTACCCGAGCGGGGCCAGCTGAACGAAAAGCGGGACACCCTGTGGCTGGCGCTGAGGGAGGCCGTGTACGATCCTTCCATTCCTGCCTCCCACCAGAGCAGCTCATCCTGGAAGGGCCATGGGGCCCCGGGGGATGGCAGCCCTGTGGTGCTGCCCAACAGCCAGCCAGATCTGCCAGACGTTTGGCTCCGCAGGCCCAGCACCCACACTTCAGGCTACAGTAGCTGAGGGAGGCCTGGACTAGGGTGCAGAGCCTGTTGGAGGCGACAAGGTGGCCCCGGACTGAAGCTTGATGGTGTCTCCCCACCTCAGCATGGAGAGGTTTCACCATCCAACTGTGGAGTTTAAACCCTGCCCCATGTGGGTCAGCCTCGGTCCAGGCTGCTGCTTACTCCCCACATCTGGAAGATTCAGTGGGGTGGATCTTGGGAAAGAAAGGTCACAGGCTCATGTCTTGTGACTTGCTGATCTCTCGTCTGCCCCCCCCCCAACCTAATGCCAACCAGGACCTCTAGAAGGGGGAAGGCCAGATTTGTGGCTCCAGGTATCAGGGGGAGGCCGACCTGGCCTCCAAGCCAAGCGGGTGTGAGGGACCCAGTTCCTGGGACCCTGCAGGGCACCTCACCAACCAGAAGAGCCCTGGGGAACCCCAACAGCCCCCGGGACCTCACACCTTTCAGGGGCTCTTTATCAGGACACTCCCTTCTCTTCAGGGAGCTTCTCTGGGCCAGAATTAGGCTGAGGCCTCTTTCCTGAATGGCCTTAACCTCCTCACACTCCCTAGGCTGACCAGGAATTCGTCAAGGCCGGGTAGAGATGGCTGCTGGCAATGAAGCAGGGGGAGGAAGGCCAGCCAGCCTGAGTGTCGTTCAGTTGCAGAAACAGTCCCTTGTGGGGAGCAGGAAGTGTGTGCTCCCCTGGAAACAAACAAGAACCCTTTATATCCTGTATCTTTTCCTTTACACAATACTTAACTTGCATACCCACGTCTCCTTGGAATCTCACCATTTCACTACGGGGTAGCCTGCAATTAGCCAGATCCTCCCCCCCTCCATCCCCGGTTTATAGGTAAAGTCACTGAGAATAAGTAAGGTTAAGTGATTGACTCACAGTCTTAGAGCTCATAAGTGTGGGAGCAGGCTTCCTGCCTTGATCCACTGCTAGAATTCCCACTGTCCTGGTTACCTGCCCCAGGGCATTGGACTGTAGTTAACCTGATGGTTCACCTTGCAGGTGTTTCTGAGAATACCCCATCCCGCCCCTCTTCAGACCTCTGTCTCCAGACAGCGCTGTACTCTGAGCAAGCTGCGCTTTGTTCTACATCTGCCCCGTGCTTCCCTCCAGATCCACTGAGAACCTCCAGGCTCTGGGGCATCCTGGCAGAGCTGATTCCCCTGTTCCAGGGCATGCTTCTTCCATGGCCGCAGCGTGTGGAGAGGCAGAGGGTAGTAGAGGTTGAACAGAATTCAGCTAAGGCAGGAACTCAGGACGGTCCCTTTGGGGAGAGTGCGAGTCTAAAACTCTACCCCCAGTCAGGGAAACCCCAGCTTCCTACAGGCAAGTCTGTCTGGGGGCACTCAGGAGACCAAAAGGTGACTCCCTGTTCCCCAAAGCAAAGAGTCGCTCTGCAAAGTTTTATGCCATGTGAGAGCTCCTGGCCCTTGAAGCAAAGTTACTCGAACACCTACTCTCATGTGGAACCACGAGGAGACAGAGGCCTGGAAGGGAAATTGAGCACCTGCCCTCGAGGGGCTCACATGTTAGCTCTTCCCTCAGGCATGGATGGGTCACTGGTGGCACCTTGCAGTGTGGGCTGAGGGCCATGTGCCTGTCACCATTCATATTGCTAGAGGTCAGGTACCCAGGACCGGTAACCAGGATGGCTTCCCTGAAGGGAGACAACTTGAGCTGGGCTTTGGAAGTCCAAGTGTCTCAGACTGGAAGGGACCTTAATGATCATTTATTCCAGCAGTTTTCAAACTTTGTAGCCTCAGGATCCTTTCTTCAAAGAATCCTTGTGTGGAAACACAGTTACAAAACAGATAAGAAGCAGCAACTCCGGGGGTGGTGCTGGGTGGGTGTGTACAGAGTCAGCTCAGCCTCCCTTTCTCCTGGGCTTCTTGGGGGCCCTGGGGAACCCCACAAGCTCCCTGTAGCTCTAACAGAATGTGGTGTGAAAACCACCAAGCCAGGTCATTTTACAGATGAGTAACACAGAGAGGAAGGGATTCTTCTAGGGCCAGACAGTCTGTGACCCAGCTAGAGGCAACTCAAGAGGTGTTTCTGTTTTGTTTTGTTTTGTTTTTTCCTGTATTCTTGAAACCTACCTCCCACCATAAGAAGCCCATGAGAAGTGGAGCAGAAATCCAAATGACACACAGGAGTTCTAGAAGCGCGAGAAGACCATGGGTGGGAATGACAGGCTACGTCAGCTCCTCTGCAAGCTGAGAAAATCAAACCCATTTGACCCCTGACCACCAGGAAGAGGAGGCAAGAATGAGGACCTAACTTGCACCTATTCTCTGGGAGGTCTGTGGAACCACTCTGTCTTCATGTCCAATTGGAATTCCCTGTCTGTGGCCTGAGGCTACTCATCAAGGTCTTGGTTTCTCTGCACTGTGGACCGTGTCCTTCTGTATCACACACTAATGCTTTGAGAGCCCTGGTCTCATCTGGGACAATCAGCCAGAGAGAGGACAAAGTGAGCCCTTCCTTCTGAGCGTGAGCAGAAGTCTGGCCTTGACTCAAAAAAGAGACCAGTGTCTTAATTGTTTTTTCCAAGCACCTCGCCAAGGCTCTTCTGCTTTGTATTGTGGGGGTGGGCAGCAGGGACCTAGACCAAAAGGACCTGCTCTTCCACATCCTTTTTGTCTTGCAAAGGGAGACATGGTATCTGGGACTGGAGCTTTGAAATTTTGCCAGAACACAACCACTGAAATGTCAGAGAGAATACAGAGGGGTGGGTAGGGTGGGCATCAGGGATGTGGGCACAGCTGAGGATCCTACTCAGAGATTTCTGGGTCCCATTCTTGCAGGCCACAGCCACAAAACCCAGCAGGAAGGCTGATCAACCAGAGTAGCTGAGGTACAGACTGGATTTGGTCTTTATACCACTGGGCCCCAAAGACTGGAAGACCCCAGCGGTAATCTAAAACACCACCTCACTCCCAGAGTGGCCCATACCAACAGCAGGCAACCCACATTAATGGATAATCTAGCCTGCCTCTCCAGCCCCAACTCTGAAAAGCAGGATTTAAAGTATTGTCAATTTCCTGTAAGTTTCAGCAGACCTATTTGCTTCATTACATTATCAGTGGTTACAAGGAGTATATGGCTCAGAAGCATGCTGAGGCAGGGGAAAACCAGCTAAAGCATTCATGTTTGCTCTGTGAAATTCGAGAAATGGTTTCTTAACACTGAGACACTTTAAAATAGAACTACGTTGACACCCATTTGGGACTTAAGGTCCTTTCTCCTATTTGTGCCACAGATCCTTGAACTTCCACTCAGAGTATGAGTACCTGTGCTGTATGTTTTTAAAATGTAACTTGGTTTACTTTGTCACTATGGGAAAACCCATCCTTCCATGGCTGTGGTGCTTTGTTGACAATGATAGAGATTGGTTTGACTAGCAGACTCTTAGATTGGCACATGGCATAAGTGATACCATGATACTAAGGCAATATCCCAGCCTAAGCCCGATTCTAAAAGAGACATCTTGTAAGAGATTTATAAGCCAAACTTCCTCAGCCCCATCTAAATCATTCCATTCTTATCCCATTGCATGACAGGACAGAGAAGCAGGTGAGAGGTATCAGGAAAGAAGATGCATTGGTTTACAACCTTCACACATTTATCTGGAGAGTTTCTGCTCTTTTCTTCCATGGTGGCCTTTGATAATACATATGGGCAGTGACAGCGCTCTGACACCCCATCCCATCCATCAGGACTCCATTTGCTTGGGGATAGAAAAAACAGGCATTCCTCACCCTTTCCACACACACCCTTGATCCCAGGGACAACTATAACTCAAGGTCAGGAGGTGTTTATGCGTAAGAGAAGAAAGTGTAACTCAGTTCGACGGGAAGAATACAAAGGAAAGCCACTCTGTGCTACGTAAATGGTTGTCCAAAGCCACTCTGTGTTGAAAAGCCCTGGAAGGACCTTGATAAAGTTATAATCATTATCAGGCTTCTGTGTGATTATTCAGTTCTGTGCCTTCTTCATTTAAGAATTCAAATTCAAGAGTGAAAGGTTGATACAGAGAGCATATTAACCACATTTGTTTGAACTGAAAAACAGTAGCAGACTTTTATGATAGAAAGTCAGTCTGGGTGCATCTGGGTGGTTCAGTTGGTTGAGGGTCCAACTCTCGATTTCTGCTGGGGTCATGATCTCGGGGTCATGGGGTCAGCCCGCATAGGGCTCCATGGCCTGTGGGGAGTCTGCTTAAGATTCTATCTCTCTTGAGGCACCTGGGTGGCTTAGTCAGTTAAACATCTGCCTTCTGCTCAGGTCATAATCCCAGGGCCCTGGGATCAAATCCCACTTCCGGTCCCAGCTCAACAGGAAGACTGCTTCTCCCTCTGCCTCAGCTGCTCTCCCTGTTTCTGCTCTCTCTGTCAAATAAATAAAATCCTTTAAAAAAGATTCCCAGGGGCGCCTGGGTGGCTCAGTGGGTTAAGCCTCTGCCTTTGGCTCTGGTCATGGTCTCAGGGTGCTGGGACCAAACCCCACATCGGGCTTTCTGCTTAGCAGGGAGCCTGCTTATTTTATTAAGTTATTTTATTTAGTTAAGTTATTTTATTAAAAAAATCTTTGGGGCACCTGGGTGGCTCAGTGGGTTAGGCCTCTGCCTTCAGCTCAGGTCCTGATCTTAGGGTCCTGGATCCTGGGATCGAGTCCTGCATCAGGCTCTCTGCTCGGTGGGGAGCCTGCTTCCCCCTCTTTCTCTCTGTCTGCTGCTCTGCCTACTTGTGATCTCTCTCTCTGTCAAATACATAAATAAAATCTTAAAAAAAAATAAAATAATAAAAAATTAAATCTTAAAAAAAAAAAAGATTCTCTCTCCCTCTCCCTCTGCCTCTTCTCCCCCCAATCTCTCTCTAAAATAAATCTTTATTTTTTTTAAGATTTTATTTATTTATTTGACAGAGAGAGATCACAAGTAGGCAGAGAGTCAGGCAGAGAGAGAGGAGGAAGCAGGCTCCCCGAGGAGCAGAGAGCCCAATGCAGGGCTCGATCCCAGGACCCTGGGATCATGACCTGAGCCAAAGGCAGAGGCTTTAACCCACTGAGCCACCCAGGAGCCCCATAAATAAATCTTTTAAAAAAAAAGATAGCCAAGGGGCGCCTGGGTGGCTCAGTGGATTAAGCCTCTACCTTCGACTCAGGTCATCATCTCAGGGTCCTGGGATCGAGCCCCACATCGGGCTCTCTGCTCAGCAGGGAGCTTGCTTCCCCCTCTCTCTCTGCCTGCCTCTCTGCCTACTTGTGATCTCTCTCTCTCTCTCTCTCTGTCAAATAAATAAAATCTTTAAAAAAAAAGAAAAGATAGCCAATCTGATTTGGCTGATGGGCACAGAGGTTTGGCTTTGCACACAGGATATAAAGTGGGCATTTTCCAAAAATTAAATGATTTAAATCTGCAGCTCCATGGCTTGAACAAAAATACATTTAGAGTACATATTACAACTTCCCATTTCAGACAAGATGGAGTAGCAGAGACTAGATTTGCCCTCCTTCCAGAAACAATCAACTGAACATAAAAACTATGAAACAACAGTTTTCAAGATGGTGGACACCAGACAACAAAGACAGTGATCCCTGAAAGACAAGAAACAGATGAGATGAGCCCTATGATTGCCTTAGCTTATTGCTGAAGAGAGTTTCCAGGATGAATTGCAGGGAGGGAGAACACAGGCAGGGCCATGCAGGCTTCCTGAACTGAGGAGATAGCTCAGAGTTTGTGGCAATCCAAACTCTGTGCTCACAACAGAGTGCTGGTGAAAAGAAAGGTGCATAGAGAGAAAATTCTGGAAAGGGCCCCCCTCGAGTATTCAGCAGAGCACTACTCATCATGGAAATGTTAGGAAATTACTTGAGACTAAGGAAAGAATCATCTGAAATAATTAGAGGGAACAGTAGTCAATATTCATAGAGGACTGGAACAGTGACTGTTCGTTCCCATCAATCAGACTGGAAAACCTCATAATTTTATGAAGCATTGGTTGGAGTTCTTAGAAGGGTCCTGCCTTAGCAGTGAGGACACATTAGCCCCAGTTTATTTATTTATTTTTTATTAACCCTAGTTGTTCATCCCATTTAATAAATTTTAAAAGCAACACCTGAAGGAATCAAACTATTTCTAGGTAATGTAACTGCATCTCAGAACAAACCTCAAGAATGTTTACAGAAGGGGTGCCTGGGTGGTTCAGTGGGTTAAGGCCTCTGCCTTCGGCTCTGGTCGTGATCCCAGGGTCCTGGGATGGAGCCCTGCATTAGGCTCTCTGCTCAGCAGGGAGCCTGCTTCCCTTCCTCTCTCTCTGTCTGCCTCTCTGCCTACTTGTGATCTCTGTCTGTTAAATAAATAAATAAAATCTCTTAAAAAAAATGTTTACAAAAATACAAAAATAACCAGCATGTGAAAACACAAAATTTACAGTGCCTGAGTTCTAATAAAACATTAGCAGTCGTACAAATAAGCAGAAAAATGTGAACCATAGTGAGGAGGAAAACCAATTGACACCAACCCAGAATTGACACTGATGTGAGAATTAGCAAAGAGATTATTATAGCTGTATTCCATATGTTCATATAGCTAAGTAGAGACTTGGAAGATATTTTAAAAAATACGCAAGTTGAACTTCCAGAGATGGAAACAAATGAATGAGATGAAAAGCCATGAGATGATGGCTTGATGAAAGCCAATGAGATGATGGAATTAACAACAGTTTAGACACTGCAGAAAAAAAGATTAGTGAACTTGAAGACATGAAACTAGAAATTGTCTAAAATGAAACACCAAAAGAAAAGAATTTTAGAAATGAATAAAGAAGTATATAATACATAATAGGTAGAAAGTTGGTTTTTTTTAAATATTTAAAATTGGGAAAAATGCAGGCATCAACTAAAAATGGGTGAGAGGGCATACTGTTTTTGTTTATTTGTGAAGGTATGTGAACAAAAAAAGAGATGATCTTGAAAATGCTATTCCAGATTCCATCTTCCTTCCCCGTTTGCATATGACTTTGCTCCTGTGATCATCCCCTCTTCCCCTGAAGCATCCTTTCCTCCTCTCTGCTAGCTCGTTCCCCTTAGTACATGTATCCACTAGTAGCTGCAACTTGGGGAAAACCCTTCCTTGACCCCCACAACCCAGCACCACAGTGACTGCCCAGTTGCTCTACTCCATTCACAAAGTTTCTAATGTCTGCATCTGCCATCCCAACTTCCCTATCTCTCATGTACTCTTTAACCTACTCCAATGTGGCTTCCACTCAGACCCACCTCTCCACCAGAATTCTTTTTGCTGTATTTGCCAATGACTTCTTTACCAGTTATTCTCTATAGTTTACCACTCCCTCCTTTGGCAGTTTACCACTTCCTGCTCCTTGGCTTCTAAAACACCACCCTTTTTTGTTGTCTTCTTACCTCCCTGACACCTCTTTATCAGGTTTTTTTGGCTGGTAGCCTTTCACTGCAACTCCTAAATGTTACTATCCCTATCCTTGGCTCTCTGTAGACTCTGTACACTTCTTCCCCTGGTGATCTCATCCAATATCTCAGCTTTTTTTTTTTTTTTTTTTTTAATACATCCACATACACCCAGATCTCAAGAGTAGATCTCTAACCCAGACTCCCCTCTGGGCTTGAAGCCTGTATTTCAAACTGTCTACTTGACAGCTCCACTTGAATGTCTGAGAGGCATTTCAAGTTAAATTCAAAACTAAGCTCTCAATCTCCCAGCAACATAAAATAGTGACTCTTTCCACACAGTTATTCAAGCCTGAGAATTCTCCTTAAGACTTCCTTCTTGGGGCACCTGGGGGGCTCAGCGTTCAACTCTGGGTTTCGGCTGGGGTCGTGATCTCAGGGATCCCAGTTGTGGGATCGAGTCCCACTTTGGTTTTGGGCTCCATGCTCGGTGGGAGTCTGTTCAGAGATAATCTTCCTTTGCCCCTCCCCTCATTTGTGCTCTCTCTCTTTCTCTAAAATAAATAATCTTTGAGGGGCACCTGGGTGGCTCGGTCAATTAAGTGTCTGCCTTCAGCTCCTGGGGTCCTGGGATAGAGTCCCACATCAGGCTTCCTATTCAGCAGGGAGCCTGCTTCTCCCTCTCCTTCTACCCCTCGCCTTTCTTGTGCTCACTTGTGCTTGCTCGTGCTTGCTCTTGCTTGCTTATGCTCACTCTTTCTTTCAAGTAAGCAAATAAATAAATAAACCTTAAATAATCTTTTGAAAAAAGCCCTTTCCCTTCTTCCCACATGCAGTCCAACACCGAGTCCTGAGATTCTATGTCCAAAAGCTGTCTTAAATGTGTCTGCTTCTCTTCCATCCTTGTGGTGTCTAAATGGGGTGTCTGTCCAATCGGAACAGGGCCTACAGAATGTAGGGCAATGATCAGGTAGAAGTCGGTGGCATGGGTGGTGAAAGGATTCGCCTGAGGCAAAACAAAAGGGATAGACATTTATTGAATATGCCACAAGGGAGCCATGGGGAGGACAGCAGAAGAGAGGTTGTCTGCCAGGAGAGAGTGGGTGGGAGCTGTTTTTAAAGAAGGAAGGTGAGGACAGTTTGAGACTATGGAATCTTCCCTTTTTTGGTAACTGTGCCTAGCTGTAGTAGCCCATTGGTCAGTTAGGACCTATGGAGGTTTTATGGTGGGTCGCCTGATGGGCCCATCTGTATTCAACCAGGTGTTGCTGTGGGCTCTTCCTGCATTCCATCGCTCCAGCCTGTTTGCCTCAAAGCAGCCTCTGCACTCTCACTATTACCAGCACCCTCATGGCCAAACCACCATCATCTCTCATGGGAATGATTGCAGCAGCTTCCCGACTATCTCTATAGTTTTGCCCTTACCCCCTTCAGTCCTTTCTCCATGAAGTGATCACAATGAGCTTTTAAAAAATAAATTGAATAACATTCTCCTGCTCTAGTATTTCAATGACTTTCTATTACTCTTAA